CTGGCTGGGGCACAAAATAAAAAAAAAAAAAAAAATCAGTTGGGGACAACACAAGAAACAAAAAAAATTCCTCCCAAAAGCCCCAACTCTCATTGAGGTGGCCCCCAACTGAGACGCTTCATTCCTCTGGTGCGCCATGGAGCAAGAGAAGACTCAGGGAAGACTGAGGTTCATGGCTTCCCATAGGCTAGATTTATTTTTTTGGTGGATTCTGCGGTGGGGACAAAAATGAGGGGTTCAGTGTGCAGGACAGAGCTGCCAGTGAGTGGGATAGGGATGGGGATGAAGGATCTGGGGAGGAGGTGGGGTGCAGGAGGAGGTGAGGACGTGAGGTCTGGATGGGAGGTAGGGTGCCAGAGCAGACTAGGGAGTAGGGTGTCTGGCCAGGGAGGAGGGGGCAAGAGCAAGGGAAGGTGCAATGCGTGGCCAGGAGGGAGGGTACAGGAGCAGGGTGGGGCTAGGGTGCAGGAGTGGGCTGGGTATGGGCATGAGGGGAAGGTGGGGCACTTACTTGCTTTCATGCCCTTCATTGCTCCCAGGCACGGTGCCTCCTGCTGTTCCCAATTTTGGCCATGGCAGCAGTGGGGAAAGCTTCCAGGGAGCATGTCTATGTGCTTCTGTTCCCCTGGGAGGAGGAGCAGCAGTGCATGGAGCCACTTCTTCCCCAAGAGCCGGATCCAGCGGGGAGGCTCAGGACTTTTTCTCCCCTCCCCCAGTGGGAAGCCAGCGCTTGCGCTCCAACTTCGCAGGGGAGATGGGCATGAGGCTGGAGTGCCAGTGTGGGCTCCCTGCTGTGGGGAAAGGGAAGGCGGGGGGGCTGAATTCAAGCCACAGCGCACCTGGAATGCAGCCGCAGACCACTAGTGGTCTGCAGACTGTAGTTTGAGAACGACTGGTCTAGCTTTTTGTTCCCTATGTATTCAAAACAGGCCATCGGGAGAGACACTGAAAGCACAGAAGAGACAAGATTTCTGGGATCAGTTGCCATGCCCAGTCCAAGTCTAATTCTGGGACTGCACAGGCACTGTCTGATCACATACATGAACTGTTAGGGAAAGGACTATGCTCAGGTACTCTATGTGGAAGACATGTGCAGAGGCTGTTCAGCAAAAGGAACTGAGAAGCACTGTAGCATGCTCAGTGAAGATTGAATCTTCAGAAATTTTTAGCAGCTATAATCAAGAAGTTTCTAATGAACATGTGCAAATTGCAATTTTCTTCAAAGTTTTATAATTTGGCCAAAAATCAGGCAGATTTTCACAGAGATGCAAGAGGGACATCCCCTGATAAATTTTGAGTTGTGGCTAAAGCACCAAAGTACCAAAGGTTACACAAAACAAAAAAATCCAGAATCTTTTTACATACGCAAAACAATATAGTTTTTCCTTGCCTCATTCTCAGAAACAGCGCAAATGTTTTGGCTGAAATTAAAAACAACAATAATAACCCTGAAGATACCCAGCATGGAAAATTTGAGCCCAAGGTGTTAAAGTTTCACAAAAATATAAAAAACTGAAAATAGGGTCTTCTAATGCAAAGTGTCAGCAACTTTACTAACATAAGAAATTTAAACACTCCGGTCATCTGAAGAAGTGGGCTGTACCCACGAAAACTCATGATACCATCTACATGTTTTGTTCGTCTATAAAGTGCTACCAGACCATTTGTTGTTTTTTAAGTTTATCTTGAGCAGTTTGGCATCATCTGCAAATTTTACCACCTCACTGTTTACCCCTTTCTCTAGATCATTTACGTGACTCAGTATGGCCATTCTCTAGGTTGAATTTGAGAAACCTCCTCTGAAATGGATGGATTGTCATGTGAAAGTAGTAGGCATCTTGTAGGTTGAAGGACGACACCCACGTTTCCTTTCCTCTAACGATGAGATTATCATGGTAACACTGGCAAAGATGAAGTGCTGGTTTTTTAAGATATAGTTCAGTCTATGCAGGTCCAA